CTTGGATTTTTAATCTCTTTCTTATGTCTTATATCGTTTTTAATAAATATATCTAGTACTGTTATCCTATGTTTTGCGGTTAGGCTTTTGCTTGGAAAGTTGGAATGACTTTACAGTCCTTACATGATCTATGATCCCCTCGTCTAGTAAGTGGACCTAGATACGTTTGTAACCTTGGGGTTTAGATTGAAAAATATTTTCAAGACTTGATTTATGTGATGTATGCTCAAGCTTATATTTTGAATGCGAAAAACATAATTTTTGATTATGAAAAAAGGTATAAGTATAGATAATAATACTTACTGGAAAAAAAGTAAGATTGCATTCGAGCAAAACATTAGGCAGCTTGTTTGATGTCATTTGGATTAGTTTAAAATGGTTTTCAATAGTTGGTGCTCACTTAGCATGGGCTACCCGCTTCAGTGAGAAGGCTGGTATAGAATGGACCAGGGTTGCTGGTAAACACGCTTGCTACTCGCTCACTTGGCAGTCAGAAACCTAATTTCATTAGAACACCTTCCTAAACTTGGTCTTACTGTTTTTTTCTATAAATATGAAACCTTAGGTCATATTGTTGGAAGAGGTTTTCAAATCCAGAAAACTCTAGGATCCTTGAGAGGAAAACCTTGAGAAATTAAACCTATAACCGACTTTTTAGTAACGAGGGTTTCCATGTAAAAAATTGTGTGCCTAGTTGTTCTGTGTGATTGATTTTTGATATATTTTCAACCACTGCAAATTAATACATTCACTGATATTGATGATAGGAGTTTTGAATGATCTCTTGTGATTGTCATTACATATAATTTTTTGTTTGGATGAATTAGGCCTTATAATTTTCAATTGTTAATAGATTCCTGTTTACTCTCCCTTTAGGTCCATTTAGGGTTTAGAAGACTTCAATCCTTGCTTCCTCAATTGGTGTCATATTATCCAATTGGGAAACTTCAATAGACCTGGCCCATTAATAATACTAATTATTATATTTTCCCAAGGAATTAAATTTCTTTTTGAAATGGTCGAAGTGCTCGAAATATTTCCATTTCTATGGAAACCAAAACGAATCATTTATTAAATATCGAAATTCTTAAGTTTCGGCCGATGTTTCGGTGTATTTCACCCGATGCTTCGAAAACAAATTTTCAAATTTTTTCTTTATTTTTATCTTGTTTCTGAAACATTATGGAAACGCTTCCGTCTCCCAACCAACTGAAGAGCCACCTGAAACTATACACCAAAAAATGAAAAATAGATCACGCCTTCTGTTAATGTGGCATATACGAAATCATAATCGTCAAGGTGAAGGCTATTATGACTCGTTATGGAAATGCTCATTTCTTGTAAAGAACAATTCCACTGCTTAAAGAATTTTTAGTAATTTAAAATGATCGTTACTTCAGCAAGCTAAAAGAATCTCCCCAGCAACATTTTTGGAACTTATATCAGTTGTTTTTCTTGACATAAATTATTATAAAGAAAAGAAAAGTTGAGAAAAAAGTGTTTAGTTGGCAGAAGAGTTATTGTGAAATCTTGTAGACCTCACATGCTGAAGTTCAAGGTTCTTAAAATTGGTTGGTCGTCGAACTGATGGGCTAGCTCGACAACTTGGCTTCTTGGTTGGGGCGGCAGCTCACAGATTGCCTGCCTGGGGTGCTGGCTGAGGGCCTACGCTGGAAGTGACCTATGGTGGCCCATGGCTGACTCAATTCCAGGGTGCTGGTTTGGGCCGCATGCCATTGTTGAGTCTTAGGTGTAACACTTACCCCTCTGTTGGGCTTCCCTCCTTGAAAAGAAAGGAACGTGATTTGTACCTGACCGCTAAAACATCATTTATTACCAAGAAGCCCCCTTTAACTGGTTGTGATAAAATAAGTATCTTACTGAATTGATTCTATCTTATATTCTGTATACATGTATATATCTGATTGTGATCTCGTGCCTTGCTCTTCCATCTCTTGCTTGCACCACATCACCAAAGATTTAACCCTGCACTGCGAGGGACCACCGACACCACCTTCTAAATAGTCACTGCCAGTACCTCTGGGATACCCTCCATCGCCACCTTTAACTCCATCTCCATTGAAGCATCTCTCGGTAAACAATCAACGTCACAAAACCACACCATGATAGCCACCATCATTACAACACCACCATTAAGTTGCCTTCTGTTCTCTCTCTATTTAACACTGGATTTCTCTCTCTCTCTCTCTCTCTCTCTCTCTCTTTTTGATCACCCATCTCAAGTGCAACTCAAAGAGCTTAGATAAAGGGAATTTCCCACTATAATACACAATTGTAAAAGCTTTTGGCTGTTTGTGGGTAAGTACTTTAGTTTTGATGGTTGAGTTGATATATTGTTGATTTAAAGTTTTTTTTTTTTTTTAGGAACTATTTTACAAAGGTAGGAGGATTTTTTTTGGGCACTTTGAATAAGGTTTTAGTGAAAAATAGTGGAGTTAGTATTTTTTGGGTGATTAGTGGTTGTAATGGTGGCGCTGGTGTGTGGTGCTCATTTGATATTAGTTATTAGTTATTACTTATGAAGAACGGATACTTCATTAAAGTCAATGTATTTGTATAAGATATCGTATTGGATACGATACTCGATGATATATATCAGATATACACCAAACATATTTAATAATTAAAATATATGGATATTTCGCGGATATTTCTATATGCAGAGAAATATGTCTAGTTTTTAGTTTTAATCTTTACTCCTTCCTTTTGATTTCATATACAATGTAATACATTAACAAAAACTCATGACTTGGAAGACACATGGGTGTTTTCCAAGTATATCCATTATCACATGCCTAAAGAGGTTAAACGAGTTGATTACTCTATAATCTTAGCAACAAATACTTTTAAGCAAACAATATAGTTAAATATTGGTTCTTATTCTTTTAATTAATCTCGTATTCGCGTTCACTTTGTAGATTTACCATAGTGAGACGATAGACAATTTTTGAAAATAAAAAATTGTTAATATTGTTTATTATTGTTAAAGAATTTCTAAAAATTACAGCTATCAAGTCATTACATAATAATAAAAATATAATATATATATCTATATATATATATATATATATATATATATTATAGAATTATCCTGTCTGTACTTGAATCCTATTTTTTGGGGTTTTGTCGTATTACTGTATCGTATCGTACTTGTATCCATATCCGTACTTTCTAAGTTATTACTAATAAATCTATGGGGAAAATTCATCTGCACCCATATAGATTGGTTTGACATGAATAACACACCTTGCACATATAGATTGGTTTGACATGAATAACACACCTTGCACTATTTGAAACCTCCTCCCCTCTCTCTCCTCTCTCTCTCTCTCTCTCTCTCTCTCCCTTCCTCACTGTGACTAGCTGACTGATAAAAAGTGTGGCATCATCTATGATTTTAAGAAATATCAAATTTACCCTCCTCCATCTTCTACATAATAAACCAACACACCACACCACTCAGTGGACACACACCAGTCCATCTCCACCTTCACCTACCAGTCTACCACCCACACACTCCCATACAATGCTGTCCACCATTAATACACTATCAAACACAACCATCCACAAAGCACCATACTGCCACCACCTCACTCTCTCCTAGAGACATGGGCACGCATGTGCCTACACAATTTCACATTGCCCCAATTCAACCAGTCTTACTGTCAGACCATATTTAATAAACAGAAATCAATTGTTTCGAATTCAATCAATCCAAAATCAGTTTAATCATCAAAAACCAATTCATTGGAATGAACACCCTAAAAATGCAATATTAAAAAAAATAAGCATAAAAAAACTCATCATTCTCTCTGCTAAACCACCCAAAAATTCAGGTTATATTATGAGTTACAGGTAGATGGTAATGCGAGAGGTAAAGTGAAGGTAAGTCTAAAATAATTGTGAACGAAATAGTAAAAAAAAATGATAGCTTATGGTCTAATAGAACATATGATCTTTTGATAGAGTGGGATTCATGTAGCCAACCTCAAATAGTTGGGATTAAGGTTAAGTTGAGTTTTGTGAGAGTTGGGGCTTTTTTTTGAGAATTCTCAGAATCGTCTTAAATCAGATACAATTCTCTGAACTCTCTGGCCCCAATTTTAGTGTGTATTTTTGACGAAAGATATCTTCCGAACAAATTTGTAAAAATAACAATTCGAGTTATTCGTTAACAGACAGACATTAACAGGGGTTGGTGATGACAGTGAAATTTCAAATAATGCAAGGATTTCCTTGAATTTAAGGTAATCTGTAGGGGCATGTGGCTGGAGTTTTCCATATATGCAGCTATATATGTATTCGTTTCTAGGACTCTGTCATTAAATATGAGTGCACATGTGTGTGCGCACGCGCTTATAGCTAGTTGATATTTTTCTTGATTATGAACTATTTAATTGAGAAGGATGACTTTGTGGTAATGAGTTGGTGTTAATAGGAGGATGGTTGTGATGTGATTGACAGTGATGGTGGCTTTGTGGTGCTCAATGGATGGGTAGTGGCGCTAATGGCAATGGATGATGGTGGTAGAGAGAACAGGAATAGAGAGTGAAATGTTGAAGCTGAACCTGAAGCTTCAGAACCAGTAGGGAAGGAGGAGAGACAAAATAAGATCAATAAGATGTAAAAGTTACCGACTGCTGATATCACTGATAGGCTGACTTTTAGGGGCAGTTTAGTAATTTTTCAGTTCTTTTAATGGCATTCGCACAGCTTTGAATTCAGGTTGGTCAAGGTGGTATCCATTGGGTTTCTGGGATTAAGTGCCAAATATCCGTTGCATATTATGTTGATATTTTGTGGGCATAAGACTAAAAGGTTTTGTATGCTTGGGGATGGCTTAGAAGGCTTTTCAAGAGCAGCTTGTTTTACATTTGCAATTGTTTGGCAGGAGGGCTTATCTGTTGCAGCTGTGAGCCGCCGCCTTGTGAGAGAAGCTGTTCGGGAGCGTCGGTGCAAAGATAACTGCACTGCTATTGTCATTGTTTTCCAGAAGCAGCAGTTAGAAACCGCCTCCTTTTAATCTGAAAGGATCTTCTAAATCTGCTTGTATCATACAGAGTGGGGTTTTGTTCTTGTGGCCACAACACGACTTCTAGTTTTGTTTGCAGCTGTTGGATGTTGCGTGTTGCCCACTGTGGACCGTGTGTCAGCAGAGTTCTGGGAAGCTTTATGGCAGGTTTAATGTGTTTAACAGTTACATTATACATTCGGAATTCATTTATATATTCTAGTTCCAGTGTGCTGGATTCCAGTATATGTGCAGAAATCATCAGAAAAAACTGGTCATTTAAATAATAATTCTTGTATCTAATGTAGTCAGTCTCATTAAGCATTGTTTTGAGTACGATCTTCAGCTAGAGGAGTTTCTCTTTGTCGCAGGAAATTGATCTTTGGGCTATATACTTTCGATGCTGAAGTTCTCGTTTATCATGGTGTCTAAGTTATAGTTATCCTCATTTTCGGAGAAGCTGAAACTTGACTTTGTTTTTCTTTTTGGGTGGTAACTAATCATTGCCTACTCTTGGAGATCATATCAGTTCGAAGTTTGTACATTTTTAAAGTTTTTATTTCTCAAATTGTGCTTTGTGAATAAACCTATATGTGTTAATCAATTCTCGTAAAGCATACAAATATAGCAAATGTGGGTTTATTGTCAAGACAATTTTCAATTACTGCAGATATGCCCAACCTGGTCTGAAGACGCAAAACAAGAAATATCATATGAAGGTTTGTTTTGATTGGGGGTAGTTAATGAAGTTTTGTTTGTGTTTGTTTCAAGTATTAGAGTTGGTCTTAACTTTACCCATGTTTTTAATTATGTCAAGTTATCTTGTGGTGTGTTTTGGATTAGTATCTCTTTATCCCTCGGCCAAACTCAACATGTTGACTTCTCAAAAATTAAAAACTCACTCGATCTAGTTGATAGCAAACCAAGGAAATAAGTCTTCTAATTTTACAACTGAGTTACCCAGTACTAGATCAATATGTTTAATAGAATGAAAATATTAGACATTTAAGCATTGCATATTGAGGCTGTAGGGTATGATTCGTTATAGGTATGAGCTTGGGGTCCATCATGTTAAGGTTCTTACTAAAAAATAAGTCATAGATACTCTTGAGGTCTCCTAAGATTTCACCATTTTTCTCTTTTCAAAAAAGCAAAGGTTTCAATAATTCTTAGTCAACGTTATTGGATCCCACTGCATTTCAATGGGACTTAACAAAATCTATTAATTGGATTTTATTAATATATGAATTAACATAAATTCACCACATTTTGACTAAGAGTTTGAATCCAAATAATAACAATATTATTTGGACATAATTTATTGATTTAATTTGTTGATCTAATCAATTACTTCATTGGATTATTAGTTGTGATCCACAATTAATTCAATAATGTGAGAATTAGATTAACAAATTAAGTTTGAACATGGTCCTTGAGAATGCAAAAAACAAAGGTGTGTATGAGGTGAATTAATACTCCTCTCTCTCTCTCTCTCTCTCAACATTTTCTTGCCTGCATATGCACCGTCTCTCACAAGTTTAATGTTATTGAGACCTAAAAAATTGACATACATAATTAAGTAACATAATAACGTGTAAAGTAACATAATAACGTGTAAAGTGATACAATTCCTATGAGAAAGTCCAACAGTTAAAAGCTGCAATAAATGTTATTGTCTCATTTCTCTCTAAAGTGTGATATGTTGCAACCTCATGTATGATATTTGATGGATTAACTATTGTTGTAGTATTTCAAATATAGTAAAATCACTTATTGAAATTTATGATCTGAAACATATAACCTAAAACAAAACATTAATAGCCATGAATGAAACAATTATAGGTATGAAACAGTTACATATACAAACAATTATAGCTATAGACAAAATAGTAGCACAATAAATTTGTAATTTAAACAATGGATAAATTGACCCATTTGCAGAGCATGAACTATTCTTAAACTTTAAGTACATCAAGGTTAGTGTTTGATACTATGTCTTTAAGACAAATTTTGCCCCCACACTTGGTGCTTATGGAAATCAAAGCGTCTACTTCTCAGAATATAATAATCTTCACGCAAATAGAAGTAGTATTCTAATCTACTTGTCCAGCAAACCAAAAATTATGTTGTGTACTCTCCAAATATAAACGACTTAATGTTGAAATATAATGTACTAATATCTGCCTTAACTCCAAAAAATGATTGATGTAGAATGGTAATGAATCTGGGTTTATATAGGCAAACTGGTGACTGTTATGTACAGTGACCATGAGAAATACACAACCTAGAAGACTCACATGCAGTCAGAAGACACTAGCGCGTAACGATTCTCAATGAATATACGTTACTTAAAAGTTCAGACTGGAAGGAAGACAATTTGAACTAGTGCGACTTCAAATCCAACGAGTATCGAAATTAAATTTTGGTTTAGAAATTCACGCCCAATTCGTTAAACGAATTTTCTCCAAAAAATAAGGTTTGATCTAAGCCACACCCATACCCGAGCCTGAAACCGATTGTATCCCTTGGGACCCAATCCCATAGAGCAAATTTGACTTATATATGTCTATGTAGAATTTTGTTTTCAACCAATGTGGGATTGGTGTTAAATCTCACATTGCACAACCTCTATTTTCGCATTTCAAGAGAGTCACTTTGAAACTGATTTTCTCATTTATTTCTTACTTGATTTGAACAAATGAATATATTACGTTATTTTTCTCATGGAGTAAAATTCGAACTCACGAAAGTTTACTCAAAACAATGAGCGGGTCCTACTTTAATTTAGACTCAAAGTCGACCAAAAATCAAATTTTAATTACTAAAATCTACAGTTAGTCCAACATTAACAATCTTAGTTTGTTGGATCCATGATTTGATGTAGGTCTTCTTACTATCACTAGGTAATAGAGAAATGGCAAATGGAGAATATTAAACTCTTAGTCAATGTTGTTGTTGTCAAGTAACTTGCAGTTATCTTAGAACATGTTCAACCCACTCTCTATTTCCTCTCTTTTAGCTATTTTAGCTAGACAAATATTAAAAACACTCTCCAACTCACTCTCTATTTTCCATTTCACCCAAATGGATTTCAAAATGTGAAGAGTCATTTAGCCTCTCTAAATTCTCTCTCTATCTCTCTCTATATATGTTGTATTCCCTTTAAATTATTGGAAGTTAGTGAAAGTTGGGTGAAGTAGTTAGTTAAAATAGAGTGTGTGGTTAGAGTGAACTTATAAAAGTGGCTAGCTAAAGTAAAAAATATAATATTCAAATATATTTTGGCTAGCTCTTTTAAAGAATAGTGTTGAAGATGCTCTTATTTCTATTTGTATTTTCTTATCAGCTCTAATATGTTACTACTTGGTATATGAAAGTTGTACTGAATAATTAAGAGAGGAGTTCTCCTATGAACCTTCTTCTTTATTGTGCTGTACTTAGCTCTTGTTTAGAATGGGAATGCACATACCCCTTGCTCGAAGAGGCTGGTTTGGAGAGTTGGGATGTGGATTGTATAATCTATATAATAACGTACAAAATAAGTCAAATCCTGAAAGATAAATAAAATGATTTTATTTTTCAAGGTTGAAATCGTTTTAAAATTTACTTTAAAGTTAATTCAACGGCTAATATTAACTCTTCAAATTTAATGGAGAAAATATGAGTGTGTTTAGGGTGATTTTTTAAAAAAACTTCTAGGACTTGTGACTTCTCATAACCATTTAAAAAAAATAAACAATAAAATAAAAAAAGTAATGTTTAGAACAATTTATTTTAATGACCTCCAAATAAGTAAAAAGTAATTTTACCACAAGAACACTTTCCAGCCAAGTCCCATTAATTGATCATAATGATACTTCTACTTCTTCAAATCAATTCTTTACAAAACACTTCAACACCATTACTATTGGTGCCACCCCACCATCACCGCCGCCGCCGCCACCCTTACCGCCCCCATCACCACCCCTCATCACCACCACCACTGCTGCAACCACCCCACCACCACCATCGTCATCACCCATCATGATTACTTCTACCACTACCCACCGCCACCACCATCATCATCTCATCCTTATATTAATTACTACTATCACTATCATTCCTTCACCACTGTCGCTCACTGCCACCATTCATTCCCACCACCACCAATCATCACCCACCATAGCCACCACCAACTATCACCCACCCACTCACCCACCACACCTACTACCACCAACCACCACCACCCGTCATCACTCACCCCCACCACACCTACTACTATCATTCGCCACCACCATTGTCGCTCATAAGCACCTGTCATTGCCTACCACCACTCAAACCCACCATCGTCATCGTCACTGCCCATCACCACAACTTGCCACAGCCACCACCATTGTCGTGCCCTCTCCACCACCACCCACACCTACCACCACCATAACTCACCACCCATGGCTGCCACTACCACCATTGTCATCCAAAACCAACTACCACCGTCACAATTGCCACCCATGATTTCCACCACCACCACCATCGTCGTCGCCACCCACTATAACCATTATCGTCTCTCACCACTACCAGTGTCTCACACCACTACTACCACCGCTTACCCTCATTACATCCGGTGTTTAAATTCATTTCTCTCTCCTCTATGTTTGTGATTTGATTTTTGGTGTGAATACAAATATGTTTATGATTGATAATTTTTTTTATTATTTTGTGTCTATAGGCTCGAGCAATAACTAGTTTAATTATAAGGGGCCCTATTAACCAATCAGAAGAATTGGACTCCCAGTGCACCTCAAGCTCCTATAACCAGATGGATTCGGTATCCAAGTGCACTAGTACAACTCAATCCCTTATCTCTTCTCAACGGGATATACATGCAGACTAGCATCAAATTTTTGTTTTCTGTTTAGATTATTTGTAATCCAATCCCTCTTTTGAAAAGTTGTATTTTTATCTTGTATCACTATATATACATTCAATACATAATGTTTAGGTTATCAAAAACACCAAAACTTTTATTCTATTACATGGTATTAGAACTTCTCAACAAATGCTCAAATCAATTTTGTTCAGCTTACTCAAATGGTCTCCTCATCAGATAATGCTTCCTTATCTACTTTCATCACTCCCAATATAGGCTAACTCATCTTGATCAATTTTGATGGTGAAAACTACCATAAATGGCTCTCTCAATTTAGTCCAATGTTGAAATCCAACGATCTAATGGGCTTCATGGATGGGTCAAACATGTGCCCTAATCACTTTCTTCCTCTTGTGGCTGATAAACTATTGGTGATATCAACCCGACATATCTCTTATGGAACAAGAAAGATCAATTTG